ATTGCTGTTTTTACCAGGCATACCTAACTTTACTAAAAGACTCATTTATTTTATTTATTTTTGAACTTTAACATAATTAGACTTAACTTAAGCGTTTATTTATTCTAAGACGTTAATATCTCCTTATAGACCGAAACCTACAAGACGATATAGGTAGAACAGCACGCTACTGTTTTGAACTCGCTGCCAAAAGGCCACGGCTTCCTCGGACAATTACAGTTAGCGTAGCTGGTATACACGTCCCAAGGACACATTGATTCATCCACGCACATCTTCCATCCTGGCGAAAATACAGCTTGCATATTTTTTTTTGATAAACTCCTCAATCATACTACGTATCTTCCATCCGCCATCCATACTATCACGTGTTCCATGTCGTAACGTTAAGCAATCTCTGATGGCCGCGAATCGTGTCTGCTTCATCATTGAACTAAAATTAGGCGTTGGGTACGTTGCATCTGAGGACGGCTGAAAAAAAAACAGCCGTTGCAACAGTATCATATTTGCACATGATCAAGCGAATGCTGGTCCATACTCAGTACTCATCTATAGTTAGATTAGACTGTTTTATCTTGACCAGGCCTTCATTAGTAGCAGACGATAAGTGTTGATGTATCCACTTCATTGGCATAAACTCAGCAAATAGCTAGAACAGTGATGGCTTCCCTCGAAGACGACGCATTTTGTGTACAGTTTTCAGGTGAGCATAGATACGGTACAGGAAGCGCAGTGATGGTTTGTCGTGGGCCTAGGCGGGTTGCGTCAAAAAGTGAGGAGTTTTGTGCTGGCCATTGAGTCGATTTGTATTCCCTGACAATCTCCGAGATAGTCCGCGAATGGTCGCGCGGGGAGCATGCCACGAAAGTGAAGTAAGCTTGTTTGATGTTTGAGAAACCTAGGGTATTTAGTGCCCGTGATGATGGCTGCTGCTTGGATGAGTGCTGAGTTGTAGCGCTCGAACGGGTCCAGCGCATCCTTCCATATAAGCGGAGCCTAGGCAATAATGTTCAGGCAATATGTACCCGTTAATATGATGAATGTTTTGAACAGCATCGGTCGGTTGCGGGGGTGTCGCCAGCTGAAGCCATGGAAGCCATAAGCGTGGAAAGAGGCGAAACCCTGAGACAATGCTGCAGCCAGGGATTCCATATGTCTGGCGAGGTTGATCCCTGGTATTCCGTGAGAGAGTGGGAATTCCAGATATTTGGAGCGTTTCGGTTTGGCACAATGTGTGGGCGCCATCTTCATGGGGAGGTAGCGTGTGTTCCAAGGTGTGTCTGCGAGCGTCGGCGTGATAAGCTCACCATTTGTACGGAGGGTTGGCGCCGCGCAAGTCGGTAGATATTACTCGGGGTTTAATGACACCCTGTTCGAGGCCAAATTTGTGTCCCCACGCATCAATGTCATCTAAAAAGGGCTGGAGCGGAACCGATTGAGAGACTTAGATCCATGTGTCATCGACAAAAAAAAAGAGCGGAGGAGCTTGGGCCGAAATTGTGCTAGCGTGACAGCTATAGAATCCATGTATATAATAAAGAGCTGGGGGCCGACGATTGAGCCTTGTAGGATGCCATTCGTTCTATGGAATAGAGGCGAGAGCGTGCAGCGGTATGTCACTCGGGTAGGGACCCCCTCAAATAGCGCGCGGAGGCAGTTGATCCAGTTTTCTTGCATTCTAGCGTGGCGCAGGAGTACCCATAGGCGTGGGAGATTAACCTTGTCGTATGCCTTGGTAATGTCCAGACAGACGTCGTTCCACTTCTCTTCTGACTGTATCTCAGATTCCATGGCGGCAAGTGCTTGGGTATGATAGGAGTATCGTGATTTGAAGCCAGCTTGGGTAGCATGTGTAGCAGAGCCGGGGTGGCTCGTAATCAGCTTAAGAAAGCACTTTTCCAAGATGCGTCTGACTATTTGTGTAAGCGTGATGGGGCGGAAGTCGGCGGAGGAGGTGATATCTGCATCGGCTTTCTTAGGGTGCGTTGTCAGGAGGCTGCAGTTCAGGGCTGCAGGGAAAGTACCCGCCTTCAGTAGCTCTGTGAATGCTTCGGCAAGAAGTTTAATCAGTGGGCTATTGGCGTCGGGGTGTCCTAATGTCCGGCGTTCGATGGTGCGCTCAACTGCGGCCTTCGGGCGAAGGATGTGGATCTCGTCGGGGCCAGGCCCCTTATTGGGATGACATTACAACTACACAAAACCAAACAATTCTAGCATCTAACGCAAACAATACACATGCGCATGCGCATGCTTCAAAATATCCATGTAACTCCACAAATCGACGCTGGACTTATACCTGAGCACATGCTTCTTGCCAATATAGGCAATCTGCAACCATAGATAGTTATAGATACAAGCAATCATGTTGTACAGCACAATGCGGACCTCTCTGATGACCCACGGTCTTCAATTTCCATACTACTATCACTTAGGGATTCATTGGGAGGTTTAGACTTAGACTTAGATTTCGACAGTGTTATACCCAATAAGCGAGAGCACAAAGAGAAACTGCGGATAGTTCAGAACAAAAGGCTACCAATACCGTTACCCCGTCACACCAGTCAAACATTTTATCTATACAGCTAAGCACAGGCAATCAGATTACTTCACAACATGTACATACTACATTACAACGTTAAGATCGGAGTAGCATTTTTTGGTCGTCTTTGGTGCAAACACCAGTAGTACGACCAACGCCTGTCAATGCACATGGGGTTGATTGGGAGTGGAAAAGTGTAGTCAACGTACGCCCCGCTGAGAGAACACCATGGAAGTTCATAGCAAATAATAAGACCTACAGACCGTGCGATGGTTTGGCCCGAGATGCTATCTCGTTTATAATCTATGTGTGCGTTAACAAATGAACCATTTACAACGAGCAGAGACAAAAGGTACTCGCAACCACTCACGCCAGGCGAGTTGCTCTAATGATTTGGCGTTTGCTTGTAATTCTGTTTTATCGACTTCAGTTCACGAGCCGATTGCTGGCGGAAGCAAGCATACGAACACGAGATGCACCCACCATATAACCTTGGAAGGTTCATGGAGCGACGTAGACTCGACAACATATTATCACACTTGCAGACTGCTGAGACAATAACCGACATGCTTATTCTAAACAGTTAAGAACATCGTTAGTCACCAGTGAAAAGTTTTGTTGATGCAATTAACGAACATAAAGATCACACAATCACAGCAAGTAGTGATATATGCGTAGATGAAAGTATTAGCAGATGGTATGGTATTGGTGGATAGTTGCTAAATGGTGGCCTCCCTCGCTATGTTCCAATGGAAAGGAAGCCAGAGAGTGGCTGTGAAATTTGGACTAGTTGCTGCGGAAAATAGTGTTCAGCTACCGTGTGGTGCGACCGTAACCGCAAATAATTTATTAGTAACTACTAATAACTACTACTAATCCGGCTACAGTTATATCACGCAAGAGAATTCGAAACGAAGGAAACATGATTACAGCAAGAGAGATTCGATGCCAACGGTCTTATCGTTGACAGGCATAATCGACACCGTCAAGATACTCTCAATCTAGAGATGAAGCTAGAAGTGCAAACTTTGCACAAGAGGGTTGGTACGACACTTCTCGGTATGTGTATGGTAGATGCATTACTACTTTAAAACAAAGGTATACGTACTCCAACAGCGAATCAAGTCGATCAGCGCACATTAAATATGACGCTCTCAAAAGAACTTTTCAACAACACATATAAATCGCGTGTGAAAGGTCGGTAACAGCAGCTATTTTAGTATGACCAGAAGCGACCACCTCGGGTGTAGGTGCGCATGCAACACCCATTAAGTCGCTTAAACATGAGAGAAAGAAAAACAAGTATAGATAAACTGTTTTAGGTGTTTGAGTGGCACGAAAGTACTGTAATAACTCAGGCTGCCTTAAGAAGAAATGCAGAACTGGATTAGAGTGCAGTACGTGAGCATTGGGTGTGCAAAGGGGTTGCTTCATGAGTCACATGCGCGAAAAAGATCTAGGCGACGAAGCTTAATGAACACTTACACATACGTGCATGCATGTGTGCATGCTTTACAAATTTACAAGCTATATTTTCAATAGAAATCCAAATCCAAATTTTAAAATTAGGGGACAGAGAACAAATTACTTTCCACTTATTGGCTTAAATTACGTCACTTTTTCTTCTAAAAATTACAAGTCAGAAATCATAGACCTTTGTAATGCCGCCCAATTGGGCGGGAGAGAGGGTAGGATATACATTAGAGGGGACCGGCCAGTAGTGGAAGTGAGGATTGGATGAGAGAGAATTATAACTCATCGGGTGTCATCATAATTTGGTAACTAATAGACGGTAACCATTGATACGGATATTTTCATAATTATCCGTTGTTGGAGAAAATCTCGTTCGACTTAAAAACGTGATTAATAAATAAAGCAGATGCGCCCGTTCATAATAACATTTCTGACGGAGTTCACTTATTTCAGACTTAACACTCTTTACTAAGCGTTACTCGGTTTTGACCACACCTTTGAGTGGCCGAACTACTGCATTTATTACACTACATTATTTAAAGACTAAACGAATAAGAATAAATTTAGTTTATTTTATCATGCTTGCGATAACGAAGGGACCCAGTACTACACCAATAACTAATATAGTATTGAAACGGTGTGGTTGCTTGGTGCTCTTCGCCGATTGCCCTTAATGTGCGCTAAGGTGGAAACGGGATTTGCTAAGGAACAGACGTCTGAAGATAAAAAAAGAAGGCAGAAATCCACATGACACTGGCCTGTTTGGTTTTGGTGGCCCAATACTCGATTTCAACCTTGGATAAGCTTAGACAAGATCCGGAGTGTATTTCTGATCATGAAGGACACTTGCGAACAATGACGCATGTGCAAGAGGCTACGGATATTATTCATCTCATTCGTGAGCAACTTCGCTAACTTCGTAAATTTTCAATGGCGAATACTGAAACATCTACATCAAAATTGAGCACAAGAAATTCCGACACCAAAGGATATGCCGACCAACTTTGGTGATTTGAGTTTGAGTCGTAATCAAAAGTCGTCAGCTATGGTGAAACCTCCAGGTAGAACTTTGTTGGAACGTGCGGATTTGCATTTGGACACGCAGGATGTGAAGCGATGTAAGATATCAACACCCACAGGGTCGTGCACAATGAATCTTACTGCAACGGAGATGAGGGTGCAGGTCTTCCGTCTTACCCAACGTATGATGCAAGCAGAGTCTGAAGGGCGCACAGAAGACGCTCGTTCGTTGCAGGGTTTAATTCGTACGTCTAAATAGACGTTGAAGACATGCTCGTTGACGATACACAAACAAATGCCAACGGAATGGCCATCCAATACACAAGGTTGCTACTATTTAGATTACCCACAGAAAATACAGCTGCATGCGTTTATCTTAGATTGGCACAAGAATGCAAAATTTTATAAGTTAGACCCTCATATTGTAAAGTCCGACTAACCAGGCTGACTATCGATGTCTATAAGTTAACGCAAAAGAAAGTACGATTTCAACGTAAATTTGCACAATGCAATTTCAAGTTTAGCTTCAGCCCTTGGTAATGAGCTAAAGATTAGAGGATTTTAAGACCGAGACTGTTGTGTTTATAGCCCCGCTCTAATCACTCATTACTTCGGTCTAGATTTACTTGGTGTCAGTAACTAAGATCAGATTTCATTTCATTGAATGTATGATATTTCGTTCTATATCATTTCATGCCTCGAAACAACCTTCCAATCGCAATTACCAATAAAATAACTCTAAGTCCAACTTAAGAAAAAAAGACAAGAAAAAAAACCCCCATGATGGTACAGTTAAATGTCTGTACCTATACCCCATCACATGGTACCTAGCTCTCCATCACATTGAAGGCATAGATGGGAACATCTAGTCGGTTGGCTAGTGGGGGATCATTTTCGTACCCCATTTCTCAGTGGGCTATCTCGCGCTGAGAAAATTCGGTCATATAACAAGTGTCATCAAGTGTCAATTTCACCTGAGACTCTCCAACTATTATATTCCAATATTCTGATGGAAAACATATCAATATAGAAAAACCATCATATCAATTCAACAGTCTCCGGCCTCTGTCGTATACAATTATATTTCTAAACATCCCAAAATAGATTATTTGTTTGTTTGTTTGTTTGTTTTCTGCAAATTCAATATATCTATATTTAGATTATTTGATTGTTATACAGATACAAATATCTACAATTGCGTTTCAACGTATACCAGGTTTTATAACCGTAATAGCGTTTAAAAACTCATACGTTTATAATATACGTTTATCATGTACATCTACTACATATAGGAACGCCCTGATTTTACATTAGCGTTTTAATAAACCCAGGTGTCAAGGAGAATGTCTCTTCGAGCGAATGAAATACAAGGCACTATATTCAACTTCCATACAAACACCACAACGGACGCCAACATGAAGGTAAACAACTATACTTACCGCGAAACGTGCGAGGTTAAGGTGAGAGTACTTTTATATCAGAAAATATGTACAAACAATAAATCACGAGTTCTAACACTGTAAATTGCGGTATCCTAGAGCGGTAATCACGGCTTAGTGTAATTAAACGCTGAAAGTTGTTTAAAAGTTCAATGAATTCAAAGTATATTAAACGAAAGTAGTCTATCAGTAAAGCTAGGTATGCCTCGTGAAAACAGCAATACTCTGAGGGATTGTGAGGCTGAGACATTGCCTATATAAATACAATCTTATCAGTCATGTTTTTGCCGAAGGAATTTTTATTTATCATTTCATTGTCGCTCTATGTAGTCGAAACTGTTACTATGTTTTGTCGGGACGAATTCGAGAGACTCATCAAAACCTATTTTTAAAAGAAGAAGAAAAAATTAAAAAGGAAAAGAAGAATACTCTTGATGTCTCTATTTATTGTATTAACCAATAATTAGCCACATATCAAGAATTACCTATTAGCCATTATCGGATTATCAATCTGGTTGGCTGGACGGAGGATAAACTAGGCAACGCTATTAGTCCCTAGAAACCTATATTCGGTTGAGCCATCTCGCTATCGAAGTATTTAGAGATAAATAGATTTGGAAGTATAAAATAGTTCTATTATAATAGAACTAGTCCAAATCAGATCTTTGATATTTTATTCGGGCCTTTAATGGCCTTGTCCAAATATTTGATGCGTGAAATGGAAAAGGTATTTAATTAATAAAAACCGTAAAACCCATTTAAGATAACTTAGTTTTAGGTACTTTTAAGAGTACGTTTATATACAAGATTCTAACGTGGAGACCCGGCTATTACAACACTACAATGAACATGAACACACAGAACAGTCAATGACTTCTGGTCACTATCAAAGGGCACGAGCAGCAAGAAGGAGTCTACGCACACAAGTGAGCCCGAGTCGTACACACAGGAGAAAGTACAAGTCGTACCTAAACAAGCACACACGATGCCAGTATTATTTCACAACAGAATTTGTATCAGTAGCAAAAGACGTGTTTGCGAGTACCACCAACATGTCATTGAGACATTCCGTATCGCTAGTACAGAAGCTACTAAAGCAGACTGACGCAACGGAAGTGTCGCGAACAACACTCAATAATATGCGCAGATCCAAACAACTCTGGAAAGACTTCACCGACGTTAAAAGGCTAATATTAATCATCGACAACTTGCGCAGAACTTCAATAGACTATCGCGGAGAAATGGCTCAAATAATTTCATATCAGTAGAATGAACGTAGAAGCAAGAGCAGCACGCTTGCACAGAACAATGCTTGAGCCTGAAAGCGATACAAGAAAACTGGAAGTGCACCATCTCAAAGCATGACGTTATCTCTCACTAGTTATGTACGGACAATAAGCAGAAACTGACAGGATAATGAAGGCCCAAACAAAGCCTGATGGTAGTATTGGGCACATGACTGACATATTAGAGAGGCTTTCCATGAAAGCTAATTGCAATCGAGTACGCAAGCGAGTGAGAAGCGCACCCATCCCGGACCAACGAGTCAATCGCCCAATACTTGACATACCAACGAGGGGGTCCACCCAGAGGGGGGAGGGGCTCCAGGTCCAGGTCAAGGCCGAGAACGTCCCATAGAACAGGGCAATACCATCCCAATACAGCGAGGACAAGACCTTGCCCACACTGCGGTGTAGACCCCTCACCTCGTGCGTCCAGCAAAGTTTGTGCAGCACAGCAATCTCAACCCATCCACCATGTAGACCAGTTAGCTGCATTACTATTATGGAAACAAGGTACAGAGATGAGTGAAGAAATTTGACAGGCTTGGTGGGCGGAAGCTAACATGACAAGCATGGTAGACATTGTGATTGCACACATTGATGAAGGAACATGGTTAGTGAACGCAAATGATATTGCTTACACACATTCTTTACTCTATAGCTCACGAGACCAAAGATTGCACATAGAAATACAGATCAATGGCACTACATACAATACACTAGTTGATTCAGGAGCCAGACGCTTATATGTGGATCGAAACTATACTTGTCAGTCAAAGCACAAACCGGCTATATTCAAATTAGCACAATCTAATGTACGAGTTGCCAGAGTATAAAGTAGTAGACTTTAAGTACAGTGCGAATGTATGTCTTTATCTCTGACCTCACTTTTGGGTTTATCCTTGAGGTGGTTGTATTAGTGTTCAGTCGCTTGTGCTGGCCAGGGTAAAAACTCATATGGTCAGTGTTAGAAACCTTCTACAGAACATTTGAACACTCCGATGCTATTCTATTTCGACTTCTCGGAACTTAATCTCACGCATATCACATGATGCCTTTCCGCATAGGACGTGACTCGCATAGGGACATAGCTATTTTTAGATTGTTGCGGTTAGCAAACTCAATCAAATGCCTCGGGAGTAAGTCAAACAACTTAATTTGCTCTCGGGAGTGAGCTAACTGATGATTTTTATAAATCAAAGAGAGCTTCTTGTTGTAATTTCTCACTCCCTTTCAATTTTACAGTCAGAATTAAAGTCTGTAGGATGGACTACGGAGAGCTGGAGGCTGGAATTTCAAACAAGACTGTTGTTCTCTCGTTGCTTGAATCTTGAAGGATGAAGACGGAAGATTGAAACTCCGAAGTGTCAAACTGTTTGTATTTACACGTAGGGTTGGCGAGCGATCGTCTGTCCAGTGAACGGCATCAAGATTTCGCAAAAAATAAACTCGAGATTGTGGCTACAGAGGACTTCATAAAATATATACTATTACTATTTTTGGATGGTTGGTGTAAGCTCCCTTCTGCGTCGCGGTTTTTATATTTGACTTTGGGATGTTGCCCGAGACTGAAAAGCTGAGGCTTTCCCTTGGGTCTTGGAATGTGCGGCTTTTATGTTGCTGTCCGGCTACTATCCTTAGCATGGTTGTTTGTAATGAAAAAGTTCAATTTTCGATCGAATCGACCAACGAAATTCGTGTATCCTTCCGATTGGTATATTTATCCAACTTTTGAACCCATTGAGCCGATAACCTTTTTGAGCTCATATCACAAGATTTGATTTCCGGCAGTTGTTTTGCCTTCTGACTTCCCATGACCATGTTTTCTTGGTACATGACATTGATTACTTCTGGGTTGGGGTTGACTCTTGCATCTTGAGCCATTTTGTTGTCGGTAAAATTCCTCTAACTCTGCGCGCAGCAGATTTGGCTCGTTGTGAGTCAGATTTGACTTCACCTTGCTCATTTATCATGTGATATGATCGGAGGTTGTTCATCATCATCATCAGAGGATTGCTGTTGAAAGTATTGATGTTTTGAGAACAACTTTCAAGCGAACCTGTCACAGTGTCTTCTAAATACGAAAGCCAGGGCGATTTAGTGTTTCCATCTTGGAAGATCTCGATAGGCAGATTGTAATTTTAGCGTTCAGACTAGTTTAAGCACTACCCAGACTCCAAGAAGGGTGATGCTCATTCACCTTTAAATTAAAACTATATAGGACTCTGCGCTAACGAGGGCAAGCTGCAAGGTAATTGCTAAATTTTAATTTAATTTATGGTGCACTGGACGTGATTGTGTTGAAAATGAATTAAATAGAGATGTTGGGATGTCTATTTCACTCGTCTATTTCACTCGTCTCTTCACACCAATTCCAACTCTGGGTTGATGCCATCATTGATTGAAGAAAAAATCTCTTTCAACCGGGAACGGGGGAAAAAAATGATAGGTGTAAAACTCATGATATGTAAAAATCACGCCTAGCCGTCATTATTTTTCCACGAATTAATAGTATTGCCGAGGTGAAACAATCGATTGCTGAGATACTTCTCGCAGCCTCGAAATTAAAATACATTATGAGAGGTACGGCCGTTTATGATTTGTAGGAGTCCTAGTTTAGCGGTTCATGCTGTGTATCTACTAGATTTAACAAGACCACGTAGCGAAAGCCATAAATATAAAGTATCTGAAAGAGATTTATGTGAAAAGTTGCTCTTTGAAATTTTACTTCCAGCCGTCACAAAAAAAACCAGTATAGGTCTTGTCCTGAATATTTGCCAAAGGCTTGATCGTTGTTAAGATAACGGACCGCCCGACAATACACTGGCAGTTGCGTACCAAATTAGTGATATACATTGTGCTATACCAAATCGCTGTTGAAACGCAACATTTGGTTGTTGCCCAAGAAGCCAGCATAGCGTCCGGCGCCACAAACAGGCGCAACTGCACGACCACGCGCGCTACTACACAACAGCAAACCAACTGCGTGCAATGCTGCCCTCTTTAGGGGGTAGGTATCCGTTCTCTCCATTTGATAGGTCTCGCTCACATCGATTGTGTACTACCGTACTCAAACCTATAGCCCGGCGGTGATTCAAGAGCCTTGGAGGCCATGCTGTGTCATATACTACGGCTAACTGTTAGCGTCCGCGTGTCTTCACTATGTTTGGCAGCGACCATGTACTGGTTTCTAGGACGACAGTTGTCGTCGGTACGGGAAGACTATGGTGATCAGAGGGAACTAAGGCCATACATACTTTGCCAGTTTGAAGACGCAATCAAGCACAAACGAGTCAAGGCACTCACTGCAACGTTTCGCCGTGGTGACTCTCTCCGGACATTCCAAATAGGACTACTTGTCGTTGAGGTCGTGGTTAGTAGATCGCATCACCCCAATGTCCACGCGCTTGTTGACGGCGAATGCGCCACCGTGGGTATACCGTGGAACAATCAAGGGTGAATAGCCCAGTGTGACCTATAACCCCATCAGCATCTCAAGTGCACCTGTGATTGGTTTCACGCCTTGGCCTTGGACCACATAGGCTATACATCCCTCGTCGGTGTACAGGGTTGAACTACAGCATGCTTTCCTCGAGCGCACCTGTGCCACGCCCTTATATCATGGAGCCTGCGAGACAAGCCCGGCATTGCTCAAGGACAACCCACACACACTAACATCCCAATCAATCCACTTTCACTTTACAGTTGTCATGTGCTCAAAGGTTGCACCGTCTCTGTGGTACATCTGATGTTGGCCCAACATAGCTCAACCACGTCACACCACGCTATCCAGCGCGATTGGCTGTGCTGATATGTTATCAATCTCACGGGCCGAATACCCACAGACCCATCAGTCCTCATTACGACGGGCTTGATACAATCTCGTACATACTTGCAGATGCATCTCAGACCTTGGGATATCTCACACTCATGTGTATGCGACGTTCCCAAATGCATGAATTACACCATATCTCCAAGCGCAGCAAAAATGTGCTCGAACGCCGTCACACCTCTTAGGTAGATCTGCTCGTCTATGTACTCGTCCTGCTCCGGTGGTGCTGCGATGGTATTGTTGATGGGGGAGAAGCCGATTGTAGGGATCCCTGCGCATATACAGGCGTGGCCATCAGTCAGGTGGTTTAGATAAGTACGAGCCATTCATGTACAACCAAACTAGTCGGTTGGCATAGATCGCAACTATATAGCAACATTAGGATAAAAACAGTGATGGAAAAGGCCGTCGAGGATGTACATATAGAGGCACTGAGAACGCAATGACTGCGAAGTATTCTGATGTGAAGTGTAGAATGTGTGTACGTCAAATTGCGGAGATCCATCACCGGCTTGTCACGCCAGATATACACCCACACACCCACCCACAGTCAATACCAATACAAACAATACGCACACACGATCAAGTTCATCGACAAACAAACATACACACACATTTATATAAAAATCCCACAGACATATATATATATATATATAAATATGTATTTACATATATACATATATATAGTATATAATATATATAGCATATAATATATGTAGTATATAATAAATATATAGAATATATATACATATACATATAAATATAAACAAACCACGCATGCCCATACCTTTGCTTCTCAGAAATCGGGCATCCGTCCCAGCAGGGAAGATCCCGGGGTCATTTAGCTTGACGGCTGCGTTGTTGCATGCCTCTGCGAACACAGTCCACCACGGAGAGCTATCATCGGCAGTTGTCACCTGTACAGAAAGATAGCATAACACTTTGAAAATCTGAGTATAAAAATTGCACATGTAGAGCTATCATTGGCAGTTATACTTTTATATAAACGTATAAACGTATAAATATATATGTATATATATACATACATACATATATATATATATATATATATATATATTACATACATGTGATATTTTCAGTAGAAAATCTAGAGTCGTGATGCTTTCACGCAAAGTTCACTACGGGATGTGATGTTGGAGGCTCTGGAAGTGAGGTATAGTTTGGGCATTTTACTACGAACTGCTGTCGTTGGGAGCTGCTATTAATGTCTTCCTACATCGTAGCGTATGATATGACTATACATTAGAATGTCATCAAAAGTAGATACCGGAATCATGACACATAGTAACAGAGAAAGAGTTTGTCAATTAGAATTGTACCTCTGTATTTTGACTATCTAATACAAACAGTACAATAGCTAGTACCATCGGAGCGTTTCGATTGTGGGATATACCTGTGCACACAGTCTACCACGAAGAGCTATTCAAAACAGTAGAAACCTAGGTACAACACAACTTATCAGACGAGACATACACAGATAAAAATGGCACATGAACTTCTTCAACGCTTTAACGCAAACAATGCAGCAGCATGTATTATGGCTATAAAACTGAATGTGAAATATACCTGTAGATAGTATGTATCACGGCGCACTCCTACTGTAGTGCACACATACAATACGTTAACACAACAAGCACATTCGTACATATCGAACAAGCATTCCGATGTGAGTTGAGCCGGCAAATACTTCTACCGACAGCTGTCCTGGTCATCTAGCACCTAACACCTAACATACACACTACACCACCATACTACTACTGGTTAGCTGCTGACAGCAGGTGAAAGATGTCAAACGTCATATGTGTATATATTATATATATATACACACACACACACACACACACACACACACACACACACACATATATATACCAAATAAGCTTATTGCGATTCTTCGAGTTAGGTGTAGCCCCCACACTACACCACCATACTACTCGCCGGATACAGGCATCAGGGAAAGGATGTCAAACTTGTTGCCTGAATCAGCCAACTGTAGCAGACACTTCAGTATGCGCTAACGCAAACCAGTGGGTGTGGAGTGCAACATGCACGTAACTGCACAGACATATACGCAGGCGATATTGAAACGCTAAAGATATTCATTCACGCATGCACACGGGCGCAGTAGAGGACATACCATATAACCGTGCGAATGAACGGACACGAACCCAACACTAAAACGCCACAGAAATCTATTAACGTATATAGACGGATACACTATGGGCCACAGCCACAGAGAGCGACACGTACGTTGTTCATGGCTGTGTCCAAGACATAGTCCACCGTCACCCCTTCTTCCAGAAGGCTTTCCACCAGTGTGTGCACATCCGCTTGGGTTCGGCTGGGAGGTGCGCGTATATCAAATCCAGCTACAAGGACAGTCAGATTGGGCGTATGAGTACTTCAGGGGTTTACATGAACAAAGAGATAATGTGTATGGTACTTCAAAAGATTACAGAGACGATCCGATTGTGTGTACGGATATTAGCGCGTGAAAGAAAAAAATAATTACATACAGAACGTTGAAAAGGGGTTGAATCCGTGAAAGGAAGTGTGAAAATGGTGACTATGACAGAGATAGCATTGTGGCGCACTCTCAAGTGTAGTATAGCCAGATTACTATTGGTCACCTTCACGGACACTACATATCCCAAGCGCATGCTTAAGATACACAGACTCACGCTGTCTCTCACGCACACACACTTCCAACCGTGTAATTAACCACACGTACACACATGAATACATGCGCACACACACTCCTAACCGTGTAATTAACCACACGTACACACATGAATACATGCGCACACACACTTTAAACCATTCAAACAACCACACACACAGATAAAAAACACTAAGCGTAGCAACCCAACGGAGGTTGTGGCAAAGTGAGGGTTGTGTCGGACTCCACATCTCTCTACAGTCAAACTAATGGATATCGAATACACCAGAAGCGCGTTAACGATTTCCCTCTCACACATGTATACGCGCATATATACACACAGACACGCCAAATATATGACGACATGTACACTCACACCAACGGACAGGCACATAAACCCGATGACCTACCAGAGGCTGTGGCCGGTATAGCGTTGTGTTGCACCCCGCAATGTACCATAGTAAGATTGATGGACATTACATCGCCCACACTAAGGCCATGTGACTGCATACGCTCCGCTTCCGAACTTCGGACTTCCAGGAATCGGTTGATGACCGCGTTGAGGCGTAACGGTGCCGTTTCTGAGTAGGGGAATGAGATAGGCTGAGAGAGTGGGCATCAGAACATATAACACATGACACAATATATACAATACCTATGCGTAATTAGACAGAGGCACAAAGCTTATAACCTGAGTGGTCACAGATCATAATACATACATGCACACATACGAAGTACATACACTGAGTGGTCACAGATCCATTACATACATGCACACATACAAAGCACATACACTGATATGTAGCCCACCACACACACGTACGTACAAGCTTGCATTGCTTACTCTGAGTGGTCACAGATCCATGTCCTGGTGTTCCGTGGGCAGTGAGCGTAAGCCAGTACGGTGCTCTCTCACCCACATACACATCACACGCCGTACTCGCACATGCCAACCCTGCATCCAGCGCAAACCCTACACCAAGCCTATTAAAGGCCTCGGAATCGACGAAATTGGCCATCACTTCACCACCCCCCACTTCTAGTCCGGAAACATAGGACAGGTGCAGAGTGCGATGGAATAGTGGTGTGGTGGATGCTGGAGAGGGAAGGCGATAGGAAGAGTGGAGGTTAGGTATACAGATGTATGTGGGATAGTATACAGATATATGTAATGTAATGCAAGTAGTGTCCACTTATAGACAAATGTAACGCATGTGTTGCCAAAATGTATGTACTTTCATTTACAGATAGATACAACGCACGTGTTATAAACATATAGAAAGATATAACGTATGTATTGTCAACTTGTAGATGGGCGGATTAGTATCACAGGTGCAAGATTCGGCGGGATAGCGGTTGTCAGAGACTGCATGCAGTATAATTATAACTATAAATATAAATATAAGCATACATACATACATACATACATACATGCATACACACACACACACACACACACATATATATATACATACACACATACACACACACACACACACACACACACACACATATATAATGCTTTCCGACGACCAAGTATATGTGTAGCTATTCTACATACATGCATGAGCTTCAAGGTGTACATCGAGTTCGCTCGGATACATACACCTACAAAGTACAATGGAACGGTAGGGTAGCAGAGATTGTCAAAAGATTTACACAGAGAGAGAAATGGGACTCTGTAAACTCTCAGAACAATTCACTTTATCCCCATAGTCACACACTCAACATCATACATCGCGTGTGCGTAGGTACGCTCCTGACGGGGGTTGTCTGCAGTGTAAGGTTGGTGTCTTTGTAGCGCTTACAGAATAGATGGGTAATTATACAAGCCTTAAGATACACGCACCTGCGCATGATCGGTACACAAACAGAAAAGACACCTTTATATAAAACCCTATAACCCTAATACCGTTATATTGTAGGACATCTTACCTTGCCTATGGTTGCTCAGTATTCGTGCTAGTGCGTGCAGGTATTGCATACCCACACACTTCTTATCCTGAGCTCCATGGGCGTAGATACGTCCCTGACTGTCCTTGTGTGCGACATAGGGCGGGTGTGTCCATCGCTTACTCTGCGCATCTAAAGTACCCGTATCTGTGTGCGAGTTCAGAAGCACACTCTCTTGAGAGGGGTCTCGTCCCAGTAGTGTCAGTACAATCACTGGTTGCCCTGGCACTGGTTCGTATTCTGCATACTGCGATGTTTGAGGTAGATGATAGGGTGTGAATGATTACTGCATATACAAGGCGTTTGGTGTGTATATATATTGACATATTGAGAATGGTTACATCATATACCAGGCGTATGGTGTGTATATATATTGACATACTGAGAATGGTTACATCAAATACAAGGCGTATGGTGTGCATATATATTGACATACTGAGAATGGTTACATCATATACAAGGCGTATGGTGTATATATATATTGACATACTGATGTGGATACCCATAGTACATGCAGCAAAGTCACTGATTGCCCTGCCCTGGCAATGGTTCGAGTTAAGTGTGTATCGAAGATTGTGGGTTGTTTTCACACTAATCAAATACTCACATTGTCATTCTACAACGCAGGTGCAGGTTGTGTCTGTGCGGTACATAGCACGTGTGAGTGCGGCTTGGTACAATACGTCCCAAAACTAACACACGGGATGGGGTATTAAGTGTAATGGTAGCACGCAAATACTTCAAGGATCGTGAACCACATATACAACGATTCACTCCGGTGGACAATGTGGGTCCGGAACCAGAACTCACAGAACAGAGGATTGGGATGCGTCCAAGCACTTTGATCCTATAACATTGGTGTGTCTACACACAGGCACACAAACACCGCTAAACAACCATAGTTGCACACACACTGTCACACACTTCGCGTGATAACGGCCTATGAAGGTTCTAACGCAAAAATTCAGAAAAAGAAAATTGGGTCCCAAAAAACGGTTTGGAAGTACCTGTAGACCAATACGATCCGCTTCCCTCCTCAGAAATCGGGACAGTTTTGTGTATTTGTGAATTGGAGAGATTCGAAGGTAATTTCGGAGCGCAGTCACGGCCACATCCTCTGTGAAGCGCCGCCAAAGCAATTTCATGGTTATATAAATAGGGAGCAATTGGAGATAAAAATATGGAGCAATTGGAGATAAAAATAGGGATCAATTGGATATATAAATAGGAACCAATTGGATATAAAAATAGGGACCAATTGAATATGTAAATAGGGGCCAGTTGGATATATAAATAGGGACCAATTGGATATACAAATAGGGATCAATTGGATATATAAATAGGGACCAATTGAATATATAAATATGGACCAATGGATATACGAATAGGGATCAATTGGACACATAAATAGGGACAATCGGATGTATATAAGGGACCAATTGAGCATATAATACTGGATTTATAAAAAGGGATCAATTGGATATATAGATAGTGACCAATTGTATCTATAAATAGTGACCAATTGTATATATGAATAGGGTTCAATTGTATATATAAATAGGAACCAATTGGAATGTCGGGATATAAATAGACGCGTGCAACTATAGACACGTGCCAATCTGATATCTGATTACATATGCAATATATGCCCAGCACAACCGCATGTCAAGACATAAGAGATGTAATTGTGGAGTTGTTACACACAACACACAACAATTTCTGGTATACAAGCGAGCGCAAACCCTAAACCCTATGAAGGCGCTGAACTTAATGCCGGAGTGCACCTCTGAGTGCTTGCACAGGAGAGAAACCCCACGGCAGAGCGGCACACAATAATGCTTTCAACAGAATATACAACAGCACGGGTTTAAACACAGTGCATGTACACAACAGGTACAGATACGGCCATGTTGTCATGGGAGATGTCTAGTAACACACACTACCACTGACAACCGGCGTTCACATCCACAAACACATCCGCACGGCCCATACCATCTGCGGTGTCCGGCAGTAAAGCCCACGCCTGTGACGTGTCATCTGTGGCGTTTTTGAGTGAGTTGGTGACTGTGATTTGGGGCAACGGGTCCGGTTGCGACGGTTGCGGTGGAGCATTTGCGTTGGGCAATTCGGTCCTCACAGGCCTTTCGTCAAAAACGTCACCCACCAATTTCTTCGTATACACCGACATGCACCTGAAACGCATACAGAAACGGCGTTGGCATGGTAACCAGTGGTCAGGGTTACCGCATGTCCATAAGTAGACCATGTGTGCAGGATGTAATGTGTGCGTATATAAAACACGACCCATTGACACGTGGGCAGTGTTCACGGATAGTAGCGTATGTATAACATAGGCGTAGAGATACACGTACACTCTGCCCAAAAGATCATGTTATGTGTGTGATAGCTAGCCCTCTTGCGAAAGTGATCTCCCAGTGAGGATATGGTACACACACCTATTTTGAGTGCATGATGTGTCAGCTGAAATAATATACTAAAAAACAGCCATATTCGTCCATCCCACATGTTCCCAGCACAGTCATAACTAAACAAAATAATAAAATAAGATCAACATATTAAAATTAAATTCATGTAAGTATTCGATATAGCTTGACTATGATAACGCAAATACATTTGTATGTTGATGCTATGTCCACTAACCTCTCATGGTAACCGGGGTCACTCTCTTGGAAATACGACAGTGCCTCCAACCTTTCTTTGTTAAGGAAGTATAACTCTGACAATCGTCTCTTTTTCCTACTCCTATTGGCGGACGATAAAAAAACCATGGTTTAAATATTTTTTACCGCGCAATTTGATTGGTTCAAAGTTAGACGAAAGAGTACCAAAGTTTAGCCTCGAAAGCTCAGTAGCATAGCAGGGCAACAGAAAGCAGAAGAATGCGCCCCTGGTTAGTATTCGCAGACGCACTGAGCCACAACGTCCGTTTAATACACAAACGTTTGGTGTACACCTCCGAGCTTGCACAAACTCAATTTAGACCAATACTTGGGATAGAGTTCACACTCCTTCCAATACTAATACAGTTGCACTTTCGTATATACGTAATCGTCAGCAGAAACCATACAACCACACACACACACACACACACACACACACGCACACACACACATATATATGTATATATATAATAAATAAT